TGCAACAGCCTTTGACAAGTGCGGCCATGGTGTAATAGCACACAAAATGCGTGGTAAAGGGATAGCTGGCAAAGTAGGCAGCTGGATCTTTAACTTTCTAACCAATCGCACACAGAGTAGTGGCAAACAGTTAAATCAGATGCTGCCATAGTGAAGAGCTCTGTCCAACAAGGCACAGTACTTGCACCTATCCTGTTCCTCATTCTCATATCAGACAGAGATGTAAACCATAGCACTGTATCATCCTTAGCAGACGATACTAGGATCTGCATGAGTGTGTCATCCATTGAGAACACGGCAAAGCTCCAATAAGATATAAACCAAGTTTTCCAATGGGCATCAGAGAACAATATGATGTTCAATGAAGACAAATTCCAACTACTCCGTTATGGAAAACTGGAGGAAATAATAACTAGGACTGAGTATACTACAAACTTTAAACACATAATAGAGCGGAAAAGTAATGTGAAGGACCTGGGTGTGGTAATGTCCGAAGACCTCACCTTCAAGGACCACAACAACGCCACTATCACATCTGCTAGGAAACTGATAGGATGGATAATGAGAACATTCAAGACAAGAGATGCTAAGGCAATGATGATCCTTTTAAAATCACTTATTCTCTCTAGGCTGGAATACTGCTGTACATTAACATCCCCATTCAGGGCAGGTGAAATTGCAGAGCTAGAGAATGTACAGAGAACCTGTACTGCACGTATAAGTTCCATCAAACACCTTAACTACTGGGAGCGCCTGGAAGCACTTGACCTGCACTTACTTGAGCGCAGGCGAGAGATCATCATAATCTACGCCTGGAAGATTCTGGAGTGACTGGTCCCTAATATGCACACAGAAATCACTCCATACGAAAGCAAAAGACTTGGCAGGCGATGCAACATACCCCCAGTGAAAAGTAGAGGCGTCCTTGGTACACTAAGAAAACGCAATAAGTGTCCGGGGCCCAAGACTGTTCAACAGCCTCCCATCAGCAATAAAGGGCATTACCAGTAGACCCCTGGTTGTCTTCAAGAGGGAGCGGGACAGGTACCTAAAGTCGGTGCCGGATCAGCCGGACTGTGGTTCGTACGTTGGATTGCGTGCGGCCAGCAGTAACTGCCTCGTTGATCAGGCCCTGATCCACCGGGAGGCCTGGTCATGGACCGGGCCGCGGAGGCGTTGATCCCCGCAATACCCTCCAGGTAAGGTATTACACTGCTACGATTAATGTTGCTATGTCAGAGATGAGAATGAAAGGAAGTGGGGTGAGTACTGTGCCTGGAAGGACGGAACTTTTTACTGTAGTAGCCCCTGATTTCACCGTTTACTACCAGTCTTCAATCCCTCCATTCATTCCATCTCACACCATGAATCCTTCCATACCTCCCTCCATCAATCCCTCCACTATCTTCCCCTCTCCTCTTCTTTCCCCCTCTTCCCACCTTTCTTTCCCATCCTTCCCCTCCTCTTTCCCCTCCCCTCAATTTCTTCCCTCTTTCCTTCCCTCCCTTTCTTGTCTCCCTCTATGCCCCCCTTCTCTCCCCTCTCCACTCTTCCTCCCCCTCCCATCTACCTCACAAGAGAAAAAAAAGCCACAATAATGTTTGAGTGGGTGAGCTAGTGTGGGGAATCCCGGTAAATAGTTCTCTGGGTCCTGCCTGGGTGAAGGTCAGGGTGGTGGTAGTGGTAATGGTGGTAGTAGTGGTAATGGTAGTGGTAATGGTGGTAGTGGTAATGGTGGTAGTAGTGGTAATGGTAGTGGTAATGGTGGTAGTAGTGGTAATGGTAGTGGTAATGGTGGTAGTAGTGGTAATGGTAGTGGTAATGGTGGTAGTAGTGGTAATGGTAGTGGTAATGGTGGGTGGTAGTGCTAATGGTGGTGGTAATGGTGGTGGTAGTGCTAATGGTGGTGGTAATGGTGGTGGTAATGGTGGTGGTAATGGTGGTAGTAGTGGTAATGGTGGTAGTGGTAATGGTAGTGGTAATGGTGGTAGTAGTGGTAATGGTAGTGGTAATGGTGGTAGTAGTGGTAATGGTAGTGGTAATGGTGGTAGTAGTGGTAGTGGTAATGGTGGTGGTGTAGTGGTAATGGTGGTGGTAGTGCTAATGGTGGTGATAATGGTGGTGGTAGTGCTAATGGTGGTGGTAGTGGTAATGGTAGTGGTAATGGTGGTGGTAGTGGTAATGGTAGTGGTAATGGTGGTGGTAGTGGTAATGGTAGTGGTAATGGTGGTGGTAATGGTGGTAGTAGTGGTAATGGTAGTGGTAATGGTGGTAGTAGTGGTAATGGTAGTGGTAATGGTGGTGGTGGTAGTGCTAATGGTGGTGGTAGTGCTAATGGTGGTGGTAGTGCTAATGGTGGTGGTAGTGCTAATGGTGGTGGTAGTGCTAATGGTGGTGGTAATGGTGGTGGTAGTGCTAATGGTGGTGGTACAAGGGGAAATAATCCATTTCTGTATTACTGAGCTTAAAACCCAGATTATACACGGGAAAAAAAATCACAATAAAACGCGTGATTACAAATATAAAAATCCTGAATAAAGAGGAATAAAGAGCTTTTCAATGTACTAATGAACTTATTTCAAAGAATTAGAGTATCCTTGGGTTGGATAATGTAACTAAGAAGGAAATAAAGTACAAGGATTGGTAAATCTTGAGCTGGAGTAAACCAAACAGGAAAAATTTTATTTGATCACCCGGGGAAAAAAGGCTAAGGGGAGGAAGCCTTTTCTTCGTTCTTGTTTTTATTAATTGACTCTAATATTAATTATCGTGGCGCAAGCTTGGGGGGGGGGAGGTAGGAAAATTCTTCAGGTGATTCTTGAAAGTAATTATTACTGGTTTGCGTTGATCCAGGAGACGAAAACAATGACTGTGGTCTTAACTAGACAACATTTCCAAGTTAATGACGTTGTTGATCACTTAGCATTGATACAGCTGATTGATGTACTCATTTGTATTTGTAGAGGTCGTGTCACAGCTTCTCTCATCACGGCTTAGTTTTTATCTATTCTTTGCAGATCGCAGGGCTCCAAAGAGCCATAATATCCACTTTTAACATTGTATATTGTTTTTCTCCTCATTCATTCCACTTACTGCCTTTAGAAGTAATTTTTTTTAATATTCATTTTAAGCTTTTACTTCAGTACCGTAGTTCATAGCCTATCAATTTTTTTTACACAGGTTTTGACAAGGTTAGGTTAAGGATCCCTAGCTTTTGTCACCAGGTTTGTCAGGTAGTTCACTGTGTTTGTTCCTCATCTTAAATCTTATTCAAAACAGTCCTCTCCTTGACTTCCGCCCACTGGACAGTGATGGGATGCATAATAAATCCATCAAATTAAAGACTTACCTCTGATATGTAGTTTTTAAATTTTCTTTTACTATAAAAAAAAAATCCTGTTGCATTGGAATGCTAATTCCCGGTTTTACGGAGTGGTGTGCTATGCCAGGACTGGAGTTTAACCTAAATAAACCCACCGGACAGAGGATAGCCATTATGGGTAGTTTACCTGGAGTTTATCTGGAGAGAGTTCCGGGGGTCAACGCCCCCGCGGCCCGGTCTGTGACCAGGCCTCCTGGTGGATCAGAGCCTGATCAACCAGGCTGTTGCTGCTGGCTGCACGCAAACCAACGTACGAGCCACAGCCCGGCTGATCAGGAACTGACTTTAGGTGCTTGTCCAGTGCCAGCTTGAAGACTGCCAGGGGTCTGTTGGTAATCCCCCTTATGTGTGCTGGGAGGCAGTTGAACAGTCTCGGGCCCCTGACACTTATTGTATGGTCTCTTAACGTGCTAGTGACACCCCTGCTTTTCATTGGGGGGATGGTGCATCGTCTGCCAAGTCTTTTGCTTTCGTAGCGAGTGATTTTCGTGTGCAAGTTCGGTACTAGTCCCTCTAGGATTTTCCAGGTGTATATAATCATGTATCTCTCCCTCCTGCGTTCCAGGGAATACAGGTTTAGGAACCTCAAGCTCTCCCAGTAATTGAGGTGTTTTATCTCCGTTATGCGCGCCGTGAAAGTTCTCTGTACATTTTCTAGGTCGGCAATTTCACCTGCCTTGAAAGGTGCTGTTAGTGTGCAGCAATATTCCAGCCTAGATAGAACAAGTGACCTGAAGAGTGTCATCATGGGCTTGGCCTCCCTAGTTTTGAAGGTTCTCATTATCCATCCTGTCATTTTTCTAGCAGATGCGATTGATACAATGTTATGGTCCTTGAAGGTGAGATCCTCCGACATGATCACTCCCAGGTCTTTGACGTTGGTGTTTCGCTCTATTTTGTGGCCAGAATTTGTTTTGTACTTTTTAGTATACCTTAAGGGGTACTAAAATATCAAAGTTAAAATCTGCTCAAAATTTATGCATCTGAACATTTCTGAAGAATTCCTTATTGTATACGATTAAAAAATAAAGATGTTAGAATATGTGGAACATTATACATAATTATAAGCGGTAATAAACCGTCTGTAACTTAAACAGCAGAAACATGCAGCCACTCTCAGCAGAAACATGCAGCCACTCTCAGCAGAAACATGCAGCCACTCTCAGCAGAAACATGCAGCCACTCTCAGCAGAAACATGCAGCCACTCTCAGCAGAAACATGCAGCCACTCTCAGCAGAAACATGCAGCCACTCACAGCAGAAACATGCAGCCACTCACAGCAGAAACATGCAGCCACTCACAGCAGAAACATGCAGCCACTCACAGCAGAAACATGCAGCCACTCACAGCAGAAACATGCAGCCACTCACAGCAGAAACATGCAGCCACTCACAGCAGAAACATGCAGCCACTCACAGCAGAAACATGCAGCCACTCACAGCAGAAACATGCAGCCACTCACAGCAGAAACATGCAGCCACTCACAGCAGAAACATACAGCCACACACAGCAGAAACATACAGCCACTCACAGCAGAAACATACAGCCACACACAGCAGAAACATGCAGCCTTCATGCCAATGAACATCATTATCTTTCAGCAGAACATAATCTTACCTGGGATTTAAAGTCTCGTGCTAGTAGAGAAGGTGGAGAACACAAAGTTCCTGAGGTTGTGGTGCACCTTCAAGCGGCCTTCAGCTCCAACACTGAAGAACCAAATACCTTAACAGGCTCCTGAGAACGCGATACTTACATGATGCAGCGAGAACTGAACGACAAATCAACAATCAAGACAAAATTTCATCGATATTACGGAATAGCTAAAAAAAAAAAAATCACAATCCTTGGCACATGTAAAGCGATAATATGTGGAGCGAGTGAGAGTGAGGTGTGCGCCTCCGACGCAGTCTACTGCTACAAGCTGTTTGACTCCCTCCTCATCATTCCCCCACATTCACCCAGAGAACCAGCCTGGTAACAACCCCCACCACATCCCCCCACCCCATCCCGTCCACAACCACGCAAACCTTATTCCTCTCCGCATCGCTCACTTCAAACAACGTAAGAACGAGAACCTCCTGCAGGGGCTGCAGCCTTAAAATATAAACATTAAATAGCGAATTGAACCCCCAGGGAGGGAAGTTTGTATACGTATTGAAGCTAGGGGGGGATAAAACCTTGTGTTCTTATTGAACAGTCAAGCAATTAAGTAAGTAAGTAAGTAAGTAAATTTATTCAGGTATACACAATACAGTTACATAGAATTATCATACATAGCAGCATATGTGTAGAGAACCTAGGTGTACAGGATATGAACAACCGTTATGGCAGACTGCGGCTTGTGTCTGCACGCCCACAGAGAGCTAAGTGGCGCAACTTTCGCAGGTCCTGGTCAACCGCAGACAATTATTCTCGTTTTACTTACTGATTAAACTGGAAAAATCGGGATGAATAAGAATGAAAATTATCGAGCGAGGCAGTGCGTTGTGTGGGAAATCCCAGAGGTCGTGATGATCAATACCAGACCAGAAGGATAGTGAACAACCTGCCCCCAGCCTGTATTCAGATCTTTCAGTGAATAACCTGCCGCCAACCTGTATCAAGATACTGTGAACAATCTGCCTGAGCCTGTATCCGCTACTGTAGTGAACAGCCTGCTTCCAGCCTGTATCCAGCTACTGTAGTGAACAATCTGTCTTCAGCCTGTACCCAGATACTGTAGTGAACAGCCTGCCCCAGCCTGTACTCAGATACCGTAGTAAACATCCTGCCCCAGCCTGTACCCAGATACTGTAGTGAACAGCCTACCTCCAGCCTGCATCCAGCTACTGTAGTGAACAGCCTGCCCAACATGTACCCAGACACTGTAGTGAACAGCCTTCCCCAGCTACTGTAGTGAACAACCTGTCCCAGTTTTTGTAGTGAACAGCCTGTTCCAGCTACTGTAGTGAACAGCCTGCCCCAGCTTCTGTAGTGAACAGCCTGCCCCAGCTACTGTAGTGAACTGCCTGCCCCAGTTTCTGTGGTGAACAGCCTGTCCCAGCTACTGTAGTGAACAACCTGCCCCAGCTTCTTTAGTGAACAGCCTGCCCCAGCTACTGTAGTGAACTGCCTGCCCCAGCTTCTGTGGTCAACAGCCTGTCCCAGCTACTGTAGTGAACAGCCTGCCCCAGCTACTGTAGTGAACAGCCTGTTCCAGCTACTGTAGTGAACAGCCTGCCCCAGCTTCTGTAGTGAACAGCCTGCCCCAGCTACTGTAGTGAACAGTCTGTCCCAGCTACTGTAGTGAACAGCCTGTCCCAGCTACTGGAGTGAACAACCTGTCCCAGCTACTGTAGTGAACAACCTGCCCCAGCTACTGTAGTGAACAGCCTGTCCCAGCTACTGTAGTGAACAGTCTGCCCCAGCTACTGTAGTGAACAACCTGGCCCAGCTACTGTAGTGAACAACCTGCCCCAGCTACTGTAGTGAACAGTCTGCCCCAGCTACTGTAGTGAACAACCTGGCCCAGCTACTGTAGTGAACAGCCTGTCCCAGCTACTGTAGTGAACAACCTGCCCCAGCTACTGTAGTGAACAGCCTGTCCCAGCTACTGTAGTGAACAACCTGCCCCAGCTACTGTAGTGAACAGCCTGTCCCAGCTACTGTAGTGAAAAGCCTGTCCCAGCTACTGTAGTGAACAGTCTGCCCCAGCTACTGTAGTGAACAGCCTGTCCCAGCTACTGTAGTGAACAGTCTGCCCCAGCTACTGTAGTGAACAGCCTGTCCCAGCTACTGTAGTGAACAGCCTGTCCCAGCTACTGTAGTGAACAGTCTGCCCCAGCTACTGTAGTGAACAGCCTGTCCCAGCTACTGTAGTGAACAGCCTGTCCCAGCTACTGTAGTGAACAACCTGCCCCAGCTACTGTAGTGAACAGCCTGTCCCAGCTACTGTAGTGAACAGCCTGTCCCAGCTACTGTAGTGAACAACCTGTCCCAGCTACTGTAGTGAACAACCTGCCCCAGCTACTGTAGTGGACAACCTGTCCCAGCTACTGCAGTGAACAACCTGTCCCAGCTACTGTAGTGAACAACCTGCCCCAGCTACTGTAGTGAACAACCTGCCCCAGCTACTGTAGTGAACAACCTGTCCCAGCTACTGTAGTGAACAACCTGCCCCAGCTACTGTAGTGGACAGCCTGTCCCAGCTACTGTAGTGAACAGCCTGTCCCAGCTACTGTAGTGAACAGTCTGCCCCAGCTACTGTAGTGAACAGCCTGTCCCAGCTACTGTAGTGAACAGCCTGTCCCAGCTACTGTAGTGAACAGTCTGCCCCAGCTACTGTAGTGAACAGCCTGTCCCAGCTACTGTAGTGAACAGCCTGTCCCAGCTACTGTAGTGAACAGTCTGCCCCAGCTACTGTAGTGAACAGCCTGTCCCAGCTACTGTAGTGAACAGTCTGCCCCAGCTACTGTAGTGAACAACCTGCCCCAGCTACTGTAGTGAACAACCTGTCCCAGCTACTGTAGTGAACAGCCTGTCCCAGCTACTGTAGTGAACAGCCTACCTCCAGCCTGCATCCAGCTACTGTAGTGAACAGCCTGGCCAACATGTACCCAGACACTTTAGTGAACAGCCTTCCCCAGCTACTCTAGTGAATAGCCTACCCCAACTATTGTAGTGAACAACCTGTTCCAGCTACTGTAGTGAACAGCCTGCACCAGCTTCTGTAGTGAACAGCCTGCCCCAGCTACTGTAGTGAACTGCCTGGCCCAGCTTCTGTAGTGAACAGCCTGTCCCAGCTACTGTAGTGAACAGCCTGTCCCAGCTTCTATAGTGAGCAGCCTGTTCCAGCTACTGTAGTGAACAGCCTGTCCCAGCTACTGTAGTGAACAACCTGTTCCAGCTACTGTAGTGAACAACCTGTCCCAGCTACTGTAGTGAACAGCCTGCCCCATCTACTGTAGTGAACAGCCTGTCCCAGCTACTGTAGTGAACAGTCTGTCCCAGCTACTGTAGTGAACAACCTGCCCCAGCTACTGTAGTGAACAGCCTGTCCCAGCTACTGTAGTGAACAGCCTGCCCCAGCTACTGTAGTGAACAACCTGCCCCAGCTACTATAGTGAACAACCTGCCCCAGCTACTGTAGTGAACAGCCTGTCCCAGCTACTGTAGTGAACAGCCTGTCCCAGCTACTGTAGTGAACAGCCTGTCCCAGCTACTGTAGTGAACAGCCTGTCCCAGCTACTGTAGTGAACAACCTGCCCCAGCTACTGTAGTGAACAACCTGCCCCAGCTACTGTAGTGAACAACCTGCCCCAGCTACTGTAGTGAACAACCTACCCCAGCTACTGTAGTGAACAACCTGCCCCAGCTACTGTAGTGAACAGCCTGTCCAGCTACTGTAGTGAACACCTACCCAGCTACTGTAGTGAACAGCCTGTCCCAGCTACTGTAGTGAACAACCTGCCCCAGCTACTGTAGTGAACAGCCTGCCCCAGCTACTGTAGTGAACAGCCTGCCCCAGCTACTGTAGTGAACAACCTGCCCCAGCTACTGTAGTGAACAGCCTGTCCCAGCTACTGTAGTGAACAGCCTGTCCCAGCTACTGAAAAGAACAGTCTGTCCCAGCTACTGTAGAGAACAGCCTGTCCCAGCTACTGTAGTGAACAGCCTGTCCCAGCTACTGTAGTGAACAGCCTGTCCCAGCTACTGTAGTGAACAGCCTGTCTCAGCTACTGTAGTGAACAGCCTGTCCCAGCTACTGTAGTGAACAGCCTGCACCAGCTACTGTAGTGAACAGCCTGTCCCAGCTACTGTAGTGAACAGCCTGTCCCAGCTACTGTAGTGAACAACCTGCCCCAGCTACTGTAGTGAACAGCCTGTCCCAGCTACTGTAGTGAACAGCCTGTCCCAGCTACTGTAGTGAACAACCTGCCCCAGCTACTGTAGTGAACAGCCTGTCCCAGCTACTGTAGTGAACAACCTGCCCCAGCTACTGTAGTGAACAGCCTGTCCCAGCTACTGTAGGGAACAACCTGCCCCAGCTACTGTAGTGAACAGCCTGTCCCAGCTACTGTAGTGAACAACCTGCCCCAGCTACTGTAGTGAACAACCTGCCCCAGCTACTGTAGTGAACAACCTGTCCCAGCTACTGTAGTGAACAACCTGCCCCAGCTACTGTAGTGAACAGCCTGTCCCAGCTACTGTAGGGAACAACCTGCCCCAGCTACTGTAGTGAACAGCCTGCCCCAGCTACTGTAGTGAACAGCCTGTCCCAGCTACTGTAGAACAGCCTGTCCCAGCTACTGTAGAGAACAGCCTGAATGACATTCACTTTCTTCATCTCAAAATTATCGTCGTTTCAGATTTCACTTTTGTCTCAAGTTGTGGACACCATGGGAAAATAAACACAAATGCATTATAATGCGATCCTGTATACTGCATTCTTTGTTTTTTTTCCCATCTGTATTTTATACCATTTACCTCCATTATAGACACCATCATTAACCATCATAGCTTCTCCCTCAACTAAAGTTTGTCAAATCTCCAGAACCACTGACTCAGCACTTTTAAAACTACAGTTAAAAAACTCCTTATCTACTTAACCTATCCCAACCCATCATAAATACATATGTAAAAACTATTCATGACTTTTCTCAGTATCATGTCCACCCTTTTGTGTGGCATCAGTGCCAAGCGAACACCTTTCTGAGACTCTCCAGTGTTAGACGAAGCGTGTGCAGTTATTAACTATGGCCGCAATTTAAATAATTCATACCTCAATACAACTTCTCCTCGTCCGGTGTCATCTATCTCTTTTCAGATGTGCGTTGACCATTGGCATAAAACTGCGTATCACTGGTGGCCCAACAGACAATCTAATGTTTCTGCTCCATTTTACAAGTTTTTATCAGCAAGTATAACAAATTAACCCTGCAACCTCTGGTTT